GGCTAACCCAGCCCCCTGAATTAACACAACTGCATTGAGACAATTGCCCAGCAATGGCAAATTCAAGAGAGAAAAAGTAAACAATTTGGACTAGGACAAGCAGTGACTCCCTTAGAACAGAGGAGGGACAGCCCCCCTATTACCAAATACCATTTTTGCCTGAGGCCTTTGCAACATGCAGTGTTGCATGTTGCAATATGCCCAGTGTGGTACCTTATCGTTTTGATAGCAACTTGTCTTTTTACTAACTTATTACTTGAAATGATCATAGAGCCTGTCTGTTTGCTGTATCCAGGCTGTGATACATTTTCCTAGTGGTTTGGTTTTTTAAAAAATGAAGGTTAAATCTCCCCCCCCCAAAAAAAAGAAACGAATAAAGTGGTTCCCTACTAGTGGTTCACAGAAACAATGTAGTTAGTACCATTGTTAGAATGAGAATTTCACTATACACTTTTTCTATTATTTAGATTTTTGTACTATGTGAAGTACTACCTATTAAAAAATTATATCAAGGGAATATTGGCAAAGGGATACTTTTGAATAATTTTTTTTGTGAGAAAGCAGGATTTATTGAGAGGACAGAGAAGCCCCCACAGTGGGAGGGGACCCGAAGGGGTTGCCCCCTTTTGAATAATTTTAACTCAAGGAATATGTTAGTCGACTTGGGTAGATACAATAAAATACCACAGACTGGATGGCTTAAACAACAGATATTTCTTACAGTTCTGAAGACTGGGAAGTCCAAAGTCAAGGTGCCAGGAGATTTGGTTCATGGTGAGGGCTCACTTCCTGATTTGTAGATAGCTGCCGTCTCATATCATTACATGGCAGAGAGAGGAAGCTCTCTCTTCCTTTTTTTTTTTGAGTCAGAGTCTCACCCTGTGGCCCAGGCCAGAGTGCAGTGGCACAATCACAGTCACTGCAATCTGCAGTTTTGACCTCCTGGGCTCAGGCAATCCTTTCGCACAGGCGTGAGTCAACACACCCAGCTAATTTTTTAATTTATTGTAGAGATGAGGTCTCGTCAAGTTGCCCAGGCTGGTCTCAGACCCTTGGGCTCAGGCAATCCTCTTGCCTCTGCCTCCCAAAGTGCTGGGATTACAGGCATGAGCCACCACACCCAGCTCTTCCTCTTTTTACAATGACACTAATCTCATAATCCCCATGACTGTCTACTTTCATGATCTCATCTAAATCTCATTACCTCCCCAAAAGCCTCACCTCCTAATACCACCACACTGGAGGTTAGAATTCAACATACACATTTCGGGGGACACAGGAGCAGGGAGGGCAAGGGGACTCAGAGTGGGAATGGCAAAAGGACCAGAAGCAGAGGCAGCAGGAGGGTCCTCAATCACTGCTGGGTCCCTGGCTCTGGCTGTGTGTGGAGTAACCTTGCTGGAATAGGAGAAAAATCTTAAAATACATTGCCTTTAGAAATCATAGCCACAAACTATTAGGAAATGTAAAGTACCATTTATATAAATATATAGTATCTCAGAATAAATATATATATGTTTACATATATATATATATTTTTTTTTGAGGCGAAGTCTCACTCTGTCTTCAGGCTGGAGTGCAGTGGCATACTCACGGCCACTGCAGCCTCGACTTGCTGGACTCAGACGATCCTTCTGCTCTCACCATGTTGCTCAGGCTGATCTTGAACCCCTGAGTTTAGGCAATTCTCTCGCCTCTGCCTCCCAAAGTTCTGGGATTACAGGCATGAGCCACCACACCCAGTTATATTTTATTTTATTTTATTTTTTGAGTTGGAGTCTCACTCCATTGTCCAGACTGGAGTGCAGTGGCCGCTCCCGGCC